CAGCGGCTGCCCGAGAGGGCTCTGCATTAACCCCAATGGACAACCACAATGCTTCGGATTGTATCAACAACACAGGAATTGCTTTATTATCCTATCATTCTATATGTAGCGAAATGCTGACTTAGCCAAGAAGCTAATTTATTCCACATTTGTCTTCTATATGGACTCGTGGTTTTTAAAACTAAAGCCGCTGTCTTTGGGAATGAGTTGTTCAGACCGATAAAATAGACTATGTTTATTATTTGGTCTCTCAAATGTATTGTTGATTAAAACTTGCTAAGGTTTTCGCACATGCAACAGCCAGCGTTGCTCAGGTTGCGCGGAGCAGACTTAATTGTAGTTTAAAACTGATGTTTAGTTCAAAGAATCGAATCATGCTCGTTGGGATGCAATTGTCTAAATTGTTTTGACCCTTGGAAGTACCAAAGCTGAATGATGATCATCGTGCTTTTTTTATTTTTGACAGACATAGAAGCGAACGACGTTGATTCCAAATACTGTAGAATTTTCCATGACGGTTGCCATGTACTATTTTAGACGTCAGCATTCTAAACGCTTTGATAAAGTGTTTGTTAATCTAGAGCAATACACCATTGTTTGGTGAGAATTGATTATGAGCTCACAAATATCTGAACATGTTTTCAGGATGACGTCATGGTAAAAATTAAGGGATTGATCATTTTTTTGCATTCTTTCACTGACCTCCGATGTTTCCTTCATTAACTACACTCCAAAATGTCTCATGAATTTCGATATTCTATGCATTATATCAACTTTCCCGCGAAATTTGTTGACAAATGGATTATACAGTACTTTAAAAAACGTACCTTTAAAAAAGACTTTCAGCCGAATTTCGGAAGAGTTATTGCAAGCATTTTCAGCTCCTCATTAGAACTTCTTAAGCGTATCATTAGAACTGAATAAGGCTCATCTCGCCTTAGAAAGCCACGGGAATTGTGGGTTTGAGGATTTAAGAAAACTTAGAAAACAATCTGCTGTAATACGGCATTCAGGGAACCAACGTAGAAATATTGTCATATTCACATATCCCACTAACGAACTGAGAAGCACTGCGAACATAAGTGCTTGAATGTCTAAAATTAATTTCTTTTCTTAATCAGTCATCACTTACATACATTTATACGCATGTAAGTGAAACCAGAATTTTTTACTGATACCGTAGTTTTCAAAAGCTAAAGTTTTTATTGTCTGTTACATGGACTGTTCCTTTTATTTTCCCAAAACGGTCCACCAACTTCCGAACATTGTGCTCAGCATGATTCAAATTTTAAATCATCGTCAGCACCGGTACCCTTTGCCCGCCATGTTTATATTTGTTGTATCTAAGGCTTAGAAAAAGCTGTTTTCACGAGAGAAGAAGTCAAGGCGGTATAGGGCACATTGGCAAGGAGCCTTTTTAAAACTTAACTTACTGCAAACTTGTCGTATATTACACTGCATCTGCCTATCTTTGCGCCGGGCAGCTGCAACCACTGTCTTGTGGCAGACCCCGACGTGATTTACTCCATGCTTCTAAGGACTGTTAAATCCCTCTCATTGACGATCTTCAGTTTGATGTAGCGTTTTGGACCTCGGTTCATACACCGAAAATCTCTGACTGTCGGTTCAGTTAATTATCAAAAAAATCTGCCGAAAATATTTTTGTCCTATTTTCTACTCTTTAGCTAACCAGCAGTTATTCATAATAATATACTGATTTGACAAACATTTTGACCTTTACCAGGCGCCAACAAAGAAACCTTGTCTTTTTTAAAAATATTTCTTTCTGTTAGCACAGTACCTAATTCCTTTAACCAATAAATGATATGAATGCCTGGTCGTAATCGCGTCGCCGCGAAGTAACAAGATTGTCAGAGATTTATTTTGACATAAAAACGGTCAGTAGGACATTTTAGGATGTTGAGTAACATTCGCAAAGATTCTACTTGTGCGATATTCTTCTGGTCACGAATACGATACTTCCAAAACCATGTAGAATACTTAAATCGTACGTTTTCTGTTCATGCCCCTGAAGTATTTACAAGGTAAAACAAGTCGCGCGTAAAGATAGCTAGCAAAACTGTTGCTTCTAATGGCTTTAAGTTCTAGACTGTATTATTTTGCGTGCCAATCTATGACATTTATAGTTTCGATGGCAGCACCGCAATTATAATTCGAAAAAAAGTCCTTAACCTTATATGACAAAAATATACTATTGCACTTTCCTGGAAACCGAAGTGTTTACAAGATTTTGCAATTTTGTTAATTATGAGTAAATTTTTATCACGTTTCGTTTTCTTAGGAATTAGTCCTGCTTATTTGGTTCTTCGTCGAGTACGTGGTGCGTATATGGAGCTCAGGCTGCAGATCACGGTACCAGGGTTGGCGAGGACGATTCCGATTTGCAAGAAAACCATTTTGCATCGTTGGTAACAAGTTACTCTCTCTTTGTTAGCAATATATCCCGCATATTCTGTTTCTTGGAGAAGCGTATAAGTAGGAGAATCTTTTTGTATAGCGTTGAATACACAATTTAGCCTGCTTTAAACGTAGACAAAATTGCAAAATGTCTAACCATATTCATATGCTGCATCGTTGCAAAATATTCTTCATAGTTAAATAAGGCAAGTAAGAATTAAACTGCACGTCAGACGTTTGCTGATAAATGATAGATTGTGTCAATCAAATATACTTTAAATTTCCCGACCAATTTCTTGGAATTCGCGCATCTGCTAAGATGCCTTAAAAACACTCAATTCCAAGTGTGAGATCTTATTCACTTTAGGTCGCAAAAGATCGCCAAATATAATCGTACCATTTCTTTCGAAACGTTACTTTGCATTCGAATGGCAGGCATGAAAAAATAGGCAGTTTTTGCTGCAAGCCAGCTTAATGTGTTGAAGCATTTATTGCATATCCGTGCAAATGCCTGGCTCAGTAAACAGCCTAACGTATGCGTTTGCTGGAAGTAAACTCCACACGCAATATTTGACAATAGGTTAAAACTCAAAACACTAGTTTACTGGTAAGTATTTCTTCAGTAACTACCAAAACGTTTTTATGTGCTTAATATTTTGGAATATCATTTTCAAATTTTTCTCATAGTAAAAAGCACAAAAATAGCACAAGATATAATATGTCGAAGTTTTACAGAAAGTCACTCCACTGTAAGAAAAAACAAGTTTTTACGTCATATCCCTATAGTTTACACGGACCGGCAAACTCCGTTTCATTATAATTAAGCTTATTGTGACATTTTTTCCTTTGGCTTGTGCTTTAAAGTAAACCAAAAAACGAATGCGTGCAGCTGTTTTTTGGTGGCCATTATCGAAAAAGCTGTTTGAATGAGAAGTGATGCTGCCATCCGTCCTAGACTATATCTATTTAACGTATTGCTCTGTGCAAGCCAAAGGCTTTTTATTTAATATTTCAAGTTAACACGTAAAAACATTGCTGCGTGCCATGTAATGTGCTTGCCTTTTCTAGGATATCCTAAGATTTTTGATGAATGCAATATTTTTTGTCTGAAAAGAGGCTTATGTACTGGTATGCAAAGGCCCAAAATCTAAGTATATTATTCCTAGCCAAGGCTTGCACAGCCACGGCAAATTAGGGATCGTTGTCATAAATCCAAGGATATAAATTAACTGCAAATTATTATAAAGATTATCAACAAGTTTGACAATTTATGAGAATCAGTTTAGCTCTTTAACATTTAAAAAGCCTATAAAATCATTCAGCACGTTTTTCCTCTCTGAGCGGCAATTACAGCACATTTGTTAAAGCCGTCTGCGAAAAGGCGTTCTAAATTAGGCTCACGGTTTCCTTCCAGTAAAATAATTCCTGCTCGACCTAAACATACGATTTTTGGCAGAAGTCAAGCAGGACAATGAAGAAGGTCCAGGGATATTTTGAGGAAACTGCACAATTATTTAGATTCGCTGAAGGGCTTTAAATCATGTAACACTTTTTCCGTTTCAGTCCTTGTCCTCAATTTGACCCTCTGCTACAATAAACATTGTTGATTTGGGTAATTACTGAGGTGAACGTAGTAAAGAAACGGCGATCTAACCGGCTTTAAATTTTCACAAAAAAACAGCATTAAAAGCCGAAGTTTGGGTTAAAAATACATCCTTAAGTGAGATAATTAATCACCTTAAGCCGTCACTAAATACTGACAACGCAAATATTCTGCAATCCTTTTATGGCTTAAACACAAATCCACGTCGGAAGAAATGCGTTTAAGTTGTTTCTTTTCGGGGCCCTTTTGAGTTTATCAAAAGTTTCTTACGAATAATTACTCGAACTTTATTTGCATTACACATCTCAATACCTTTATCATAGCCTTTTCGCATGTACTGCACTGTCCTCTCACTACAGATGTTATTCTCATCGTGTCCAGTGTTGTTGTGCTTGCCGGGGACAATGACAACAATATTTTTGCCGCCAGCGCACTCAGGGGCCTGAGGTTCTTCCAGATCCTGCGAATGATTCGTGTAGACCGTCGAGCAGGCTCATTCAAATTACTTGCAGCTGTTGTTTGGGCACACCGGCAGGTACATGGATATATTTTTTTTTCCCAAAGATAGTTTTAATGATGAAAATAAAGAAAATTTTCTGCCACACCACTAGACGTGCAGTGCACGCCAATAAAAAGATAATTGTGTACTTTCGAGCATTGCTTTTAAACTAACCACGGTATTTAAGGCTCCGTATAAGTGAGCGGGCCTTGGTGATATAAATTTATGCGCAAATCACTGAGCTTACATAACACGTTTGCTAATAATTGACTATGTTACAGGTGTGTTTTTGAGCAACATTTTAGTCAATTTACTGTAAATTAGATTACCATTAGGGCATTTTCTATTTGTTCCGATAACTCTTGTCACTATTTTCCAACAGTAACATTAAGTGGTTTTTGAAATGTAGCATGCCTGCAGCAACCTTATGAATATGATAGAATTATTGATGACTCGTCTCTTTAGGAACTCCTCACGACCATGTATATTGGATTCTTGGGATTAATCTTCAGCTCATTTCTCATCTATCTAATTGAAAAGAAGGAAAACCAGAAAATCAGCAGTTACGCCGACGCCTTATGGTGGGGTGTGGTGAGTTTCATCTAAATAAGTGTCCTCAAATTATTGCCCCCATCTTTTTGATCACACAAGAAATGGTTTCTTGCCAATACTTTCTAATTTCTGATAAAGTTGACGTTTTAAGATGAAGAAGAGTTGTCGACTAAGCATTTTCTAGACATAATATAAATATGTGGCCGGATTAGTTAACAGAAAAGGCCTACAGAATGAAAAGGACGCTTCGAATGCTTATTCTTTTTCAAGATACAAGTGTGTAACGTTCGTCCTATAACATCTCTTATTTTTCTAGTATATGGAGACCATGGAACGTATTTCGCGAATCTTACAAAGACTGCATGAGTTTGTGCAATGTGCAAACCTATCATTTGCGTCCAATTGATGAGAAGTGCTAAAATAAAAGGCAATAAATCTCTGTATATTTGATGGCTGTAATAGGACAGTTAAATCTGAGAGTTAATTTTTCGAGGTAACGGCAACCACTCTATGAGTAAGGTATATAAGTTCAATGCAACTTAAACATATATAAATTCCAAAGAACACTTTAACAACAGACAAATCCGTTTCTGACTATGTACTTTCATATTAAAATAAAATACGCGATGATCGTATTTGTAAACAAAGAAATAACTTCTACATACTTATTCATGTCGCGGTCGTCGAACAAATGCTTACGCGGAGGTCTTGTTTGACTTACAGATAACTCTCTGCACTGTCGGATATGGAGACACCGTACCGCAGACATGGATCGGAAAACTGATTGCTGGCTGCTGTGCAGTGGCTGGGGTTTCATTCTTCGCTCTGCCTGCAGTAAGTCAGCCTTATAATTCCCATGTATCTCTGTTAACCGTTGATTGAATACTTAGCTTCCTGGCAAAAGGAAAGATGTCTATTAAAAACAAGGCAATATTTCTTTCATCATCAATATTTTTGTACTCAAATCGACCAACTTCAATGGTCTTATGGTGATAATGTGGCGCAGAACTTGATCAACATAATTCTGCTTATCTCTAGGGCAACTTGATCTATACTTCAAAAATATGTAGCACACACATAGTATGTGGTCATTTTTTACCAACTGTAGTTTATGCACGCGGTCAGAATGGAGTTCATTCTAAAGTCGGCATGTTGCATTAAATGGAATGCTTTAGGTATATGCTGTTTGCTAATCCATTCTGCAAGCACGCCTATAAAACCCATTCTAATCGGAACGTGTTCAGACTTTCCTTCAACATTTCGTGAGATAGGCCAACTACTGTATATGCGAGATTCGAGCACATGTGGTGGACTGTAGACAGTTTTATCACCGATCTCACTGACTACTGCCGTACGTCTTGGAATAGTGGTTGGGGGTTCTCTGCACTTAATTTATATATAGGGCAAAGCCATATATCTTTTAGAGGCAACATCATATCAACTAACGCAGCGGTTACAGGATAGCCACGCCTCCTGTGATTGTTTAAAATGTATAAGTGTATTTGATTTTTCAACTGGGCCCGTAAAATTCAAAAGTACGGAATCATTCGGACTGTGCCCGTCTCCACGCGCGCTGCTGCTTAAAAGTATGCACTCCTACCTGCAGCTTTGTTTCTTCTAATTTAGTATCCAAGTTAAAACGGCGGTCAATAAGCATAAGTTTCAGACGCAACGTTTAGAAAATGGTTTACTATTCGTCTTTATCTCCGAACTGAAAGTTCACAAACAGCGGTAGCCACCGCTACTACATCCCAGAAAGCATAAAAGACTTAGCGCTGATGCCAGATAATTAGTGATATCCTTACGGTTTCACTGTTTAATTTTATTGCTTTCACTTCGACCGCTCTGATAGTGCTATGGCCCAACTAAGCGCAAAAGTGAAGGAAATATTATATAGAAACTTGGATATGTCCGGCTCATGTGTTCGTATCTAAACGCCTGCTTCGTTTTCAAAGGTCAAGTGCTTGGAAGGAAAAACTTCCTGAGACGGTTCTTAATTAACTGATCGTATTATAAAGGCCATCCTTTTGCAAAAACGTGTTCAATGTATACAATCTATTACAGCGAATTGCGAATTCGCTCTTTTGTATATAAATTATTCAAAGTTGTTTGACAAAAGTTTGAAATCAATTGATCAAGACGTCTTTTCTGTGACAAAAGTCAAAGAGAAAAACCGCCGGCCCTGATCTAAAACCCTTGTATTTTTGTCAAACGGGCATGTGCAAAGTGATGCTTTCAGGAAAAACTCCCAAAAGATACCAATAACGGGCTTCACCGGTTACGGTCAGCTCATACTCACCGTTCTCTTCACCTACTCCTTCAGCGAGTTAGAACTTATTGTTTGCGCCTCAACCTCGCTGACGTTCAAAGCAAAATAAGACGAATAAACCGATTTTTTAAACAAAAAAGGAGCTAAATAGATTTAGAAACAAAAAACACCTCTGGTTTTCAGAAGAACTCCGGATCACTCGCCCACTGCATCTTTTTCAGTCAACCATGAAGCACAGAGAGCATGCTGTATTTTTATGACGCTAAGAAAAACTTAATGTGTACTTAATGCCTGTTTACACCTCGCAACTTTTCTTCCCAAGTGAGTTGCAGCCATGTTGACTAGAGCAAGGTCGACGAAATATGACAAACATGCATGATCTTTTGCTCAAAACTCGTTTTTCTGATCACAAGCAAGGTGCAAACTCTCAGATAGATAATTGAGATACAGTCGGTCTAAGTTGACGCAGTTCTAGGCTCAAGTGAAATAGACTCAAAACCTGTTTTTATAGGCGAGTAAGACAAATTGGTATATAAACGGCCTTTCGGGTTATCATCTCTCGAATCCCCATCTAGGGAGGAACTAAAAATAAACGCATTGGGCTATATGGCAACAGACTGTTCTCGCTAAGAGGAATCGTAAAGGTGTATTTGACCTGTAATGATATTAGCGGACCATCGTGCCAAAATTTAAGTTCTTGGGCCTAATCAGGACGAGGATAAAACTTTAAATTGTAGTTTAAATTGTTTCCACTGACTTTATTATACAGATTTTCTCTAGGAATAATAGACTGCCTCAGCATTTAAATGTACTTGGGCCAAATATTTCCGAGGCGTCAAGCTATGACATTGAATATTTGCTCTTAGCTTATGCGAAACTTTTAGGAAGTGCCAATACGAAAACGAAGAGTGCCTCATAATTTCGAGGCGTCATTATTGCGAAAAATTATTTTTATTTATTTTATTCGCCATCTCACATAACAAAATGCATTTCTCACCTATAAATTGCAGCTAGAACATATATTCGCGAAGATAGCCGGCATTTCTGTGTTTTCGCATGCGAAGCCTGTGTTTTTTACGATGACATGTTCTTTCCTTAATGCATATAACTATTACATCAGCTTGTACAGATGATTCGACCCAAGAAATGGATTTCCCTTTACTTTCTGCCGTTCGGTCAAAATACTTGTTAGTCCCGAGGTTTCATGTGCTTAACGTAAAATTTTACTTTCAGAGTATATTAGGAAGCGGCTTTGCACTTAAAGTCCAGCAACAACAAAGACAAAAACATCTAATCCGAAGGAGAATCCCCGCCGCAACATTGATCCAATGTCTGTGGCGTTGTTATGCCGCAGATAAGAGGTCGACTTCAAAAGCCACATGGTCCATGTATCGGAAAGTACCAAGCACCAGCATAAAGTAAGAACACACTTTGGATATCATTGCATGCCCGCTGTGACATTTGGTAACCTAGCTTTTTTGTTTTATTCAGTTATTATCTGGTCAATTTGTTTAGCTCGTTAACGTAACAAATTGGTCTCCGGAAAACCTGAATTATTTCAATCAATTTTCTAATTGTAAAACCAGGCGGTTTCAGAGAAAGTCAAGCCTGCGATATAAACTGTTGGGCCTGAGGGGAGACGAACACCTCATTATAAAAAACCACCAAGTTCAAAATTTTCAGCTTTCCTTAAACCTTATTGTTGCTCTCGGTGATCAAATTCCTCAAAATCCACCGATTATTTAAAAACGGCGAAGCATACGACATTTACTTTATTTTTCTTCCTAATTATCTCTTGCTGTCAAGCGATAAATAACTAGGAATGGGTGTGGACACGGAAAGTTTACTTTATTTGAGTATGCTTTCTTGTGTTCGCTGCGAGCACGCAGTCAATCAAATTTGAGCTCTGACGGATTCAGATCTACTTAGAAATTGCTTGCGTTTACCAGAGCAGATTTTGTGACCTGTAGCGCTCCTATTGATGCTGGAAGTAGATAATATATCAGAATCCTGTGATACTATAAAAAAGATGAACAAACGATCTCTGGAATAGTAGGTGTATTAGTCTGAGCTTTCGGCCATCGTCAGAGACTGTGAGAATGCGGCATCAAATGTGCAGTTTTTGTAATTAAGCTATGAAGGGGGAGGGATATGACTGCAGAGGGTGATATTCGCGATAAGCTGAGTCGCACGCCGTCTCACGGCGGCGAGACTGCGTGCACCCTTGTCTAGAAATTGGGTCTCGCCTCTTGGCCGCGGGAACGGAGCGCGTGATAGCAGGGGGAGTATGTCAACGTGTCTGTTGATAGAGTTGGGTGTCAGACACCCAGACCTCCAACAGTTCTTGCCCTGTCATATTTCTGGCCCGCGCTACTATCCGCGTGCTCGCGAAGTTGAATTCGTGGCCTTCCTCCAGGTGTGATTGGCGACCTGAGACAACGGGTTGCCTCTCTGTACCGCCCGTTTATGCGCCGTTATTCGTGAGCTAAGTCGTCGTCCGGTCTAACCTAAGTAATCCTGTGATACTTGTGCAAGACGGACCGTGACGGAAATGCCCATTTATAAAGAGCAGAATTATTATTTGCTCACACATCCATCTCCTTTTTTGTAAGACCGCGCAGGACACCTAAAAGTCGCCGTTAAATTTACGCAATGTCCCAGGAATTCCAAAAGCACTTTAACAGCTAAGAATCAGCTGATGTTTCTTCCAAAATAATCAGTTCATTATGTTGTGAAGTGTCGGTATTACATAAAATGCGCCGTAATAGTAGTCCGCGCTATCTGTGAAGTGAGTCGGAAAAGAAAAGTTAGGTGATATGCATGGCACTGAGCTAACTGCGTGAAATATTTATTTTTCAAACAGAAGTAGTGTAGAGTTGCAAAAATGCCCATAGAAGTAATCAGAAGACGAGGTGGCGAGCATACGTAGTTTTCGATAAATTCTCGTCGGGCCAGTACAATTATATGGGAAGGGGGTAGAAGTAAAACACGTCAGTGATAAGATAAATCGATTAAAGTTCGCCTTAAAACACAGGCTGGGTGTGCGAATGTGGGAGAGGGGGGGGGGGTAATAGCAGTCAGTGTCAGGAGCAGGGTGAGACCGGAAGGGCGCGCGAGAGTTGTAGCGTTGGTCGACCTTCGACCACTGTAGGCGCGGAGCCTGAACGTGGTTCTTGTGTGCGCACAAGATTGGTTTTCGCAACCTGATGGCGGCCGCCTCTGCTGTTGCTAGCCGACGCTGGCCCAGTGGTTTAGGATAGCTCGATGGGACCATAGAGATCACGCGAAACGATTCATTGGGGGTCTACATGATGTCCAGAATCGACAACATGCGCGAGAATGGCGCTGCTTATGCTCCTAGTATCGCCTTTTCCCAGCCACGCCGGGAGGTGTTCCCGTATTCTCATGGATAAGCGCCGACTCGTGCGACCAATATAACCTGCTCCACAGGAGCAAGTGGAGGAATCGATGCTCATTGAACTGGTCTGGTATGGCAACTTATCCTTACCTTCTCCGCGTAAAATAGGGTTAGTAGAGAAGGATACTTGAACCCTTGCCGCTGGGAAGGTTCGCGAAACAGCTTGATCAAGGCGTCTCTTTAGGAGTTCACTCGCAGCGTCCCCTCGAACAGAGTTTTCTTTCGGCAGTCGGTGTGGTGGGTTTTACCGGCCGCTGGGCTATATCCTTTGCAATAAACCTGTCCGGGTACCCAGTTTCACGAAGGAAGTCCTGGATTTTTCGAAGTTCCTCCTCGATGCTGTCCGCTGAGCAAATTTTTCAGTCTTTGTGCCAAACATCGGACTAGATTTCATTTTTGTTCCAGGGGTATGAAACTAGCGAATTTTGTGTATTGTCCAGACCAGATTTTCTTCCCGTGTACGCTTCCTCGGACACTTCCATCGGGTCTCCTGCTTAGAGGAACATCTAAGAATGTGAGCGAACCGGCCGTTTTGATCTCCAACGTGAATTTGATAGAGGAGCGTGTCTGATTTTCAACGTTTAAGAGGACATCTGCGTCGGTTTCTGCTATGGCAATCGCAAAGACATCATCAACATAACGGTCGTAATGTTTAAGTTTTTCGATCGTATCGCTTAGTTGGAATCTTTCCAATTTGCCCATGAAGACCTCTGCTAGGAGGGGTCCAAAAGGCGAGCCCATTACAACGCCGTCTATTTGTTTATAGAGTTGGTCGTCAAACAGGAACCGTACATTAAATGTGCATCTTAGTAATAGTTCCTTCAGTGTCTTCGTCGGAATTCCTATTTCCTGCTGAATGATGATCGTAGAGTGATGGGGCTACGTTTAAATAAAATGGGGTATTTAACCGCCAAAATTGCAACTACTGAGAAATATACGAGGGGTTAAAGTAAGGCGTAAATTATCATCGCCAGGGTTATTTAGAACATTGGCGTTTGCTTTACTCTGACTTGTCACATTTTCTTAAACTTTTCTCCACAAGCTGATATGATAAGCATTCGAGTCCCCTTTTAACACGAGAAATTACATTTTAACCTACATATTCATCCCCATTACTTCATGGTGATGTGAAATACTTATGGGGATAAGTCCTTCCGAACAGGTGGAATGAACGAAGGACTCCCAAAAATACCCTCCGCTCTTCACCAAACTGATGCCTTCAGAGTTTTTTCATAGGATACTTTGAAAGCTTTGCGCTGTAGAACTGTCAACTGTTACAGAATTTGGAATAATCATTGGACAGTATTGCATTTAAATACCAAACGACATGTTTCTTAACATGTGTGTTTCCAGTGTTTGTCGTTGTCACTGGTTACCGGACAAGGCAAATAGCAGGATATAAATAGGCGCCGACAAATTAAATTATCAATGTCCTTATACAATAACACAAAATGCGAATACAATTTTGATCAGTAAACACTGCATTTATACTATTTATGCATTTGTTCATTTCTTTATATACACCGACATCAGCTTCTTGGTTAGAAGAAAGTGAACTAATAATTGCTTGCAAAAAGACTATTTCTGATGACGGTTTTACTTTGCTTAATGGGTGAAAATGGAACGAGGCGGGAAAAAATGCTGCATTAAGAATGGATGGACAGCTAAAATTAACCACTGGTTAAATCGTTCTCTACAACCTGTGCCGGAACTCTTGAAACACTGCACGAGATGTTCCGGAAAATTTTCAACTAGAAATGATTGCCTAGGCGAACTTGCAGAATATTTTAAAGAAAAAATTCCAAGCCAACTTCCGCATGGTCTGTTCACACATCCGCGAGTATCAAAGACGAAAAATTAAAAATTTGGACGTATGTCGCGTATCTCAAATGCCTTTATTAACTTGAACTTTTTTATACTCGGGTATGTAAAAGTATTTCACCTACTAAATGTATGTGATTTATGTTTTTTTTGCAAACGCAAACATATTTCGCGTTTTAACAAGTTTGAATCAGTATGGCATTTGAGGAGCTGGTCCAACAGAACTGCTCACAGGGAATGACCTCATATACTGCAAATTATCAAGGTACATACGCTTATTCGAATTAATGGCAAAGCAGTCCTATGGCGCGTAACATGGCATTCTTAAAGTATTTAAAGTGAAGGTTTCTTTGGCAGCGTGGTAAGCATTTTTTATTCTTTCACACTAACTTTTTTTCCGCCTTTAATGACTGTGGTCAGCGAAAGAAAAGGTTTCAAGAAGTTCAGCGTATAAAGGAAAGGAATTGGGCGATTTCCGTAAAATATGGATTACATTAGAAAGAAATTAAAAACTTACGGAGATGTTAAACATTTTGAGCATTCATTTTCTCCATGTGAATTTCTAGCAAGCATATAAAAAGTCTACACTAAAGGATTAAAATCATATCGTTAAAGAGTCAACTGAAGAATTTGTTTTCCGCCAGTTCGCCTTCGATCTTACCTTTGTTACCTTTTCAAATCAAAACTATGTTGAAAATGCATCTCAAGTGTTCCGTGGGCCCAGGCATATTATATATCATCACTTTTGAAGAGATTTATTTAATTGTGTTTTGCAATATCTCTTAGCTGTCGTCTAGTTTTTGGGCACATATGAGGCCTCTAGTTAGCCTATAGGACAGCCTTTAATTTCTTTGTCAATGCGTGACGCTTGCATTCATTTAGGATACTAAAAGCAATTACAGTTTTTTGTTGAAACACATTTATGATATGACTTTCCGAAAATAAATATAGCCTGTCTGTCGTAAGAAGCTAATGCATCAAATTTATTATTCCCTGTATGGTGCTCAATATTCGGATGCGGTACATTCGCCGAAAGGCACAACTTTTAGCGCATGCTAACGTTCGCAGGTGTCTCAGTTTGTTTATGGTGGAAAATTATGCTCTGACAGTCGACTGTCCGAGTCGGTTAACCAACTTATGCGAGATAGAGAGAGAAATGATTGTCATGGTTGATTGTATTCGGTCTGCGCATGTCACATACGCGACCTTGCCGCATTTGTACATGCCAGAATTTCCAACAGGTGGCGGCTTATTTCGATCTCACATGTAGCATCGGAACCACGTGGAGGTAGGAGCCGAATAACACACTTTCCACCTACGCGAGGGGTGCCGGTGATGTGGGATATTGGAAGTGTTCAAATGTGAGGCGTGCGTTGATGGAAGAATGTGTGGTGCTATGGTCTAGTCTGCGATAATTTAGCACAGATCTTAGTAGAGTCGCATGGGATGGCTGAATGTGCAGGGACATTGCGGGTAGTTGAAATAGTGTCGGCGGGTGGTTTGCCAGTCCCTGTGCTATAGATTCACGAGCGACCCAATGAGTCAATGCGTGGTGTGCATGTGCAGCGGCAAAGTGAGTAGAATAGATTGAGAGATGCTGGGTCAGTTGTGCTGTTTTTTCTGCTAGCGGAGGTCACGCTGATAAATTGATTGTTGGTCGGGATGGAGGTAGGTTAGTAGTTGAGTGTAAATGGTGGGCTCGATGCTTAGGTGTTGCGGTGAATTGGGCTGCCATAGATAAGAATATGACCGAATAGACCCATACGGTAAGTAAGTTTGTGCGGCAGTGCGAAAAGCTGAGGCGAATGCAACGAGTGTATCTGGAGGTCAGTGCAGGGATGACGATTAAGTTGTGAGGGCAGCCGTTGGAGTTTTCGGGACGTTGTTGCACTGATTCCTGATCTGTCCAATGGGATCGGTCGCTAACAGCGTGGACGTTTTGGAAGACGCTGGGTGTTGCCATTATGGACCGGTGGCGCTTCAGACTTGCTGACCGATTTTGACAGTGGACGTCCGGTGGGCTTCATAACTTACTGATCCAGTCCTCACTGATCTTCTCCAAGCCGATCGGTCCTGCGCAATGTCCTCGCAGGTATTTGGGTTGATTTGTAAATTAATCAAATAATTATTTGGAGTATCTGTGCGACGGCGTGTTCGACCTCCTAGTCGACTATTGCCACTCGGTGACATCTCCTAAGAAGTGTAGTTTGGGTATTTGCAGGCAGACCGAGTCACACATTATCTGGGTAAGAACAGTTTAAAGTAGATCATTCTAACTTCAGAAGTTTTAGTGACACAGTCCGGTTGATGCTTCTTCTTCCTCACTCAACCTTCTCTCTATTCCGTTCTACGCCGATTGACTGGTGCCATCCTCTGCCCTGGTATTCAAAGCAGAAAATAACATTTCGTTTTACAAAGCACAGCAAACAACCGATAATTGCAGACTAACACGGATGGATCATAACCTTAATAGCGCTTTTTGGCTCATAAACAGTCATTGTGCTATGCATAATCGAATCCGCAATAATGCTACAACCGACAATGAAGACAGCTGAAAACCTTCGGTAATATGGTGACCCAATTGCTGAAACAAGCATATCATTTAACGGACGAGTAGGATTAATACTGAAGCCCAACATCAGAGACTGCAGCAGACTTGACTAGTTGAACGTCCAGAGAACTTAGTAAATGCATTATACAGTTGGTATGTAACTACTCACCTAGTCGAGGTATCAGTCCTCACTGATGGTCATAGCTGATGCGAATCATTATGTGTGTGTCTTTTTGATCGGGGCTGATTATTGGTGGCGAGTCCTGCGACCTCGTTACTTTCTGCCTTAAGTCTGCCACCGGACTCTGTTCAGCCCTGCTGTAAGTGGCCTGACCAGACGACTGACGGATTCCCAGCGCTTCGAATGTGTTAGAACGCCTCATAGTGCTTTAGGCCGGTAGCCTTCGGTCATTCGTCTCGTTTTACGTCCTCAAGTCGACCAGATTATGCAGGTGGCCGTTCGCCGCTAACACGCATCGAAGGTGTCGTAATTAGAAACCACGTCTTCTAGGTTGTTGCTACAGCAGGGAGCTCCTGGGGTCGTTTGATGCATCTGGCCTATTTTTGGGCAAAGTGCCTACGTCGGAGAACCTGGAATGCCCGAACACACAGTAGCAGCAGCAGCAGCAGTGAGGATGCGTGGCGCTAGCGTCGAAGGCTTGGCCCAATCGGCGGAACTCGGGCGCACATTCAAACTCAGTGAGGCGGACAGTTTCTCGATAAGTGGAAATCGCGCCTCCCTGGGTCTCACTCCGTCTACAAGCGTAATGCTTTGCCCAACCGTTCGCTCCTATGACTTTACCCGCGCAAAGAGCTTGTGCATGCTGGGTGCGCGCGGTCGAGAACTACGTCTGGCAGGAGTCTAGATGAGCCAACTTGTCGAGTAATGTCCAGCTCATTTGGAAACCCCAACGAATAAACGATGCTGACGACTAACATCAAGTACGAACATCTGTGATAAATGCGTAGGCTGCTATATTGATTTAACGTGTAATTAAAGAGCAATTGTTTGCTACACAGACGGCAATTTTTGTGTGCTCCAGTACTTTGATGTACCGGTAGAGGCGAAAAACGAGTCCCAGGAAACAGCCTTGAAGAAGGAGATACGGTCGCTGTAACAAGAGCTTTATTTGCCTAACGTTTCGGATTTCTGCTCGAACCCATCATCAGAGACAACAGCATATACGGGTGGCTCATGCACAAGGGGCGGCAGTATTTATAGGATGCAGTCGCCATTCTACGGCATATCTATGAACATTCACGGCTCTATCACTTCATCGGGGATTGTTGCACTTAGTGTGGTGATTGTTCATTGGCCGACATTCGCGTCGTTAATCACTGCAATTTCATCACGGGTATTGGATGTTGTAATGATTACTCGGCCATCTTACCCACCGACCCTGGCGTTGGGAACAGTGTTCGTCTGTGCGTTCCCCGTGTGGCTAATTACTCCGCCTAGGCGAAGTCTCATTATCGAGTATGGACGGAGAAGGTCGTTGCAATTGTCAGTAGACCTACTGCTACCTCTGCTAACAGTCAAATGGGTGTAAATAAAAATACTATTCCGGCAATTGAGTCCCCTTCTTTTCGACGTTCGCCCGTGCATGTGTCCTATTGTTTACCGTTACAGTGTAACTTTATTGGTGTTTACTGCTTTTTATCGAAGCCACAGTGTTAGGATTACTTTTCAACCATCGTGTCCACCAGTTTCCTCTGTCACAAATCACGTCGGATAATGCCGTTTTACAGGTGACTCCACACCTGGTGGCATTCAGTGGTGGAGATCACTGAATACTGTGAAAGAGTTAAGGACTGCGCACATCGTACCCATAAATGCACCCGAACGATTGGCTCTTGTTCTCATTTGAATCTTATTTCTAGCTGTTTTAAATCTTTGCCTTCCAATTTAATGAGTGATTTCCAATGCGTCACGGCTTTATTGAAGATTGTTTCAACTGGGTTTTAAACTTTAAAACTCCCCATGCTTCTTATGGGATGTCACACGTCTAGGATTTTCACATCACATCCACTAATGCGCATGCCGATTCACTATGCTGTTCATTACAAAATTGCCTTTATACCTAACTGTCTGACATCTTTACAGTTTATGGCCAACAGAATCTTTTTCTGAGAAGTCGGGATTAATGAGATTTGGACAAAGGCTATCGACCATCCGAAGGAAGACGGAAAAACTGAAACCCCACCTCACTGTCAACGCAAGGTCCTCTATGTCACCGAAGCTCCTAATGGTCAACGAGACAACTGTGCCTGCTAATTACACAGTCATTGGTGGATTGGACAAAAATGCAGTTTTAGTCAAGGATCCGGCACTTTATGCCCTTGACTACAGTGGAGCGGTACTAAATATGCAAAAACACGAGAAACTCCGGCACAGTAAATCCGAATGCAGAATTAGGCACAGTACAATTACAACGCCTCCCCATAAGTAAGACGGCGTTTCACCATTTTTGCTTACCCCTAAGATAACGCCTTGTGTTTTTTTCTGTCGGAATTAGTTATGATGAAGTCTGGCGGGTTTTTCTTCCGACCTATATAAAGAAATTCTGCAAAACGAATTTTAATGGCGGTTTGGAGAAACGGAAGAAAAGTGTTAAACAATACCAGATGAGATGAAAATATTATTCATTGTGTCCTGATTCGGAAGTCCCGTTCAGACATCTCATTTTTATTCAAGACTGTATAGTTATAATCCTTTTTTCATTGGGACTACATGAAATAACAAATGCTTTATTATTTCTGTTGAAAGATAAGTATATTTTAAGGAGCGAAGTTGTAACACGTGATCTAAATCTCGAACGCTTTTTATCCACTGAAGCTCTATTTCAAAGACATGGCATCTGCACATATGTGGTGTTCCATAAGGCTACAACGGGTTACGCGGGAAGTACGCTATACCAAATGAAGGAATAGATTTTGACAGGATATACGTTAACTCAGCTGCACGCACCGTCTATCCCTAACAAATGTAACAGCACCTCCAGGTGCATATCTCAATCCCTGTCACTTGGGTCCAGACAGTGACCTGGTGCATAACAGAGGAAAGAGAGTGAAGCTTGCACTGTGGAATCCCTTCCAACAGCAATTCAGCACATTCCTCACTATACCAAAATCCAACAAACTAGAATCCATCCATGCGCGATAAAAGTCATGGTTTAGAGGGCTGCAAATCGACTGAGTAACTAAATTCTCACGGGACCGAGTGTTACGCTCAATGGATCCTCTACAACGTGTCCTCTATGGTGGTCCTGTCAGATGGGATCAGAGCCGCTGCATTTCGTGAAGACCTGGTAAATCTTGCGAGGACCAGGTCGTGTGCGGCAGGCATAGGCGGATTGCTTAGCTACGTCAGCCATTGCCCCAGAGCCCGTCCTCGTTCATCCTTTCACTGCCTAAGTTCCCGCGGGGAGAAAGGTGAGGGTGCGGCAGATGCTGCACAAGTCTGCAACCACCGAGAGCTAAATCACGGACAAGTCACTGCTCTGTGTCCACAACCCTGTGGGAAATACAGCAGAAATTATAATTCTTGACTGTCGAGATTAACCGGTGTTTAGAAAACAAAGAACTACAAGCCACTTTCTTGCGATGTCGGTGACCAGTCTAGCTGGGTTCATGTCTACGTTTTGTAGATAGGTGTGGATAAACGAAAAGGAGTCATGAATCGTGTGTAGCCCCTTTGGCCAGTTGCCTGCTTAAATATCATGGCTACTATGCCCATGGACATATTCACACGACGAGTAAGTGAGATTTATTATACACTTTAGTCCCGTGAAGCTTTAGCCGTTTACGAACAGTTATTTCCAAAACTTTTAATCAAATCATAAGCCTTGAAATGGCACGCCATCCCAAAGGTCGTGTCTTCTAAATGAAGACGTTCTGAAACAGGTACTTTTGTTTGTTACGACACCCTGCAGTTAAAACACTTATGAAAATGAGCCACATGTGTAATTTAACTTCGTCAAATGATACTGTTTTGAGGGTTCTGACGACCAAACAAACGGCCAGATAAATTTTCCTTTTGTATCGCTTTGTTGGTGACACACTGACGGCACATTTGAAGTAATTTTTTGCATAAATACTCCATCCCAAATAACGTTGACCAATAAAGCAAATAAATTGTAAATTGGATAAGAATAAAAAATGATTTCAGTTGCTTGCATTGTTACTGGATTCCATCTGATTGTACGCAATGCTGACCTATCAAATCGTGGGCCAGAATACTTCTGTCAATGCCGCAAATTTATCCATTTTTATACTGTGATAGTAGTCAAAATTAAACGTAGAAAAGTGGTTATTTTAAGAAACTAATAGTACCTCACAAAAACTGAAACACTGCCCACATTTGTATGCGTGCTCCGAAAAAAGGTAATTACTTAGAGAGCGTTGTGGTACATCTTATGCTGGTTCATTAAAATGATGTTGGAATTCGCTCTTTGAGAGATCTACAGCCACCCTCGAAAGTATTGTTCATACTTGTTGATGCTTCTATGTCCATCTTTTCCGAAAACTTTCCTTTAAACGTTTACTTCACAGATTGCCGTACGCGAAATTGTCTTTCCATAGACTATATCCCTAAAAGACATGTTGTTTTAATATATTAAAAACATGTATTATAAAAACTGTTCAGGATTTGCCATAAACGTGTGCAGTCGTGTATCAGCACCTATATAGATGTTATTGTTGAGACAGTTTATGATAGTCCGCCAGCATCCTTAATGTAACAAAAAACGACATTTTCATTTTTTTCATGTAAATACCATTACCAAAAACTTGCCGTATTTAAAAAATATACGAAAACTTGTAAACATATGCATTTGAGACAACTTTGTTCTTCGATCAAACAGTTTCAAAATAACGCACGGCCCCATTAAAGACACCCAAGATGTAAACGTTTGACGTGTATGCTCAAGTTATCCCCCCTTTACCTATGTAGATATCAAGAACCACTGGATATAGGACACACAAAATGACTGATTAATTTTAGGAAAAGCTGTGTACGCTGTTTGGTGGGCAAAGTTTTGTCAATGATCCAGTTCCCTGGCACATAGGAATTGAAAGGTCATTGCGCTACAGGACAGACAGTGTAATTGAAAGTCGATATATTTTCAAATGTTGTTATTGCTTCAGTGGTCTCGACGCTTATAATGTCTTAGAGAGTTGGTTTACACAAACCGTTAGTGCTTAGATGTCGGCTAGACGTAGATGAACAGTCCGCACATATGTAGATGTCAGTTTTGCGGCGATTTATACGTATTCGTAGGCATTCTCACCGTAAGATTAAAATATGTTTTCATTTTTTTCATGCACGTCTCACAGCATAACATTGTTTTAATATTCTTGAAGCTTGCAATATATTCGGAAGTGAATTTACGCAAACTCTTATTGCTTTGATATAAGCTGCATGAGGATGAACAATTATTACGTTAAGCTCTTCTTTCCATCATGCATGTTTGTTTTTCCCAAATTTGCAATTTGTGCCTTCGTAAAACAATTTAGGTTTCACGCGACGCTTCCGGGAAATCTTACCAAATATTATGCATAAATTAATGCTTATAAGTGCTCTAAAATAAGTATGTTCTGTCACCACCTGGGCTCAGTGCTTGGGACTGTAATGCAGAAAATCCTGGCCTGACAATATTTGGCCTTGGGTAGACTCCTTATAGCCATAGTTCCTAGATGACATGTGGCTAACTCTATGACTTTTGCTCGTTTACTTACCTGCCATGAAATTAGAATGCTGAAAATTCAAATTCGGCAAGCTTTAGTTTTTGAAGATTCAGCCCCAAACTTGTACAGGGGCACATTTAATGGTAAAACAGCTAAAGACGAAAAAGTAACCAATTTTTATTAGAGAGGGGATTGAGTGTGTTCAGACATGCCAGACAATGGCAGCAATATTAGTCTAGTTCTCCCAGGAGTAAGTTCCTGTAGCACGACATAACGGGATGCAGAAACAAATAAGTAGTACCCAGCTTCGACCTGGGGAATCGGGAGGCACTGAAAGAAATCTTCCGCGGAAATGCACTGTTTAAACACAACTTATATTATCATATAGGCCTGAGGCTGAGTACTCGGATACACGCCCTCATCGAATAAAACTTCTACACTTATTATACACCTGAGTTTATGCCTGCCCTCCCATGTGTTGTGTCACCCCCTCTAGTGCCTCCCTTGACCATCCCGCAGGATACCTAACATTACTAAAGTTGCTGCTTGTATGGAATCCCCACTTATCATCTTTTTTGGTTTTTGTAGATTAAACGAAATTGACAAGCCTACCAATCCGAGCTTGAACCTTGAAAATAACGACGGTGAGGCTTAACTTTTTTATGCTGTCGGTTCGTTTCGGAAGTAAAACCCTCGTAATTTTATGCTGGGCAGAATATAACGTATTTGTAAATAAATAAGCCCTCGATCATTATATTTTAAAGCACTAATTATTTTGATCGCGGTTTTCTTCTGATCGTAGAAAAGTTTGAACCGCATTGCATGTGGAGTTAGCTACAGATAACATTAAATTATCGCTTTAAATAACAAATCTATTAAAAGAATGACTTTTAATCAAAAACGTTGGCTTTGGGTCGACCGCTAAACATAAAAATCACAAATAGTTGGGTAAGATTTGAGCCAAAATTGCCTGGAGTCCTTCACGTCATAATTGGTTTTATGGCGTTTTTCTCAACTTCAAACTGCAACTACGAGCCGTACTATCTTATATTTAAGGCATGACGTGAGGATCTTACCGAAATACGGTTGTAGGCCCGTATTTACCAGGAAGAACACTTTAATGCGAGGGTGTTAGATCACATTTAAATTGATACTTGCGTAGAGTCGTTCATAGCTTCTTTCAGCAAAATCATATTTTTGCTACCAGGCGACTTTTCGCTGCAGCAAATTGACTTGCTGACCTGAACGACTACACGTTAGCCACTATTCGGCTAATTTAATACATGCTTATTGATAAACCTCGAATCTCTTCTTCTTCCTAAGTTATAGTAAATATATTGAACTTGGTGTTGCCTCAAAAATATTTTTGAGGTCGACCGATCTTATGCCAACGTCTTCTATACGTTACGAATCACCCTAGAGATTTAATGTCACGGACAAAAAATCTAAAAAAAGAGCAACTTCTTTTAGGGAACAGTATAGCCGCTGTGCTTTTAATATCGCATGACGGAAAGTGTACGGAACTCACATCAGACGTGGTCGATTGAATTGATTCACCTCTTGTTCTGCTGCCAGTCTTGACGATTTTACATAAGGCCTAGTAATGTTGCCATACTTAGAGCACATGCACAAGCTTAAAGCTTATCTAGGGTTTCGCGGATGTTCCGTCGCAGCACAGAACAGCTGGAAGTTGTTTGGCTTATCAATGAGTCTCATAGCGTTGCTCGCGTGCCCTATGCTAGATACTTTAATTTCAGAATTTCGGATTTTTTTATCTCAAAAATTAATGTGCCAAGCTGGAATGCATTACTCGAAATGAAACTAAACAGGTTCATTACAAATTTTGATGTAAATAACTGAGGCGAACTTTATTAACCTATGTGAGAAAGGGACACATTAAAGTGTGTATTTATACATGTCATCCCGGCTTTCTTTTAGTCTGGCGTTATAGTTACGAACAAAATAGCTAACTGGACACACCAGATTTTCCTATCAGTGCCAACTCGTATTTTGGGTCACACAATGCAGCTTTATCTGCTGGCTCCTTGGCGATAAACGAGTTAGAGTTATTCTGTTGTCAACGCCTCAAGTGACGCCGGTACAATTTGATGAACGGCATTGAATACCATACCCTAAAACAGAGGTCAAATCGGGTTTTCCGACGGCAGACGCAAAAACCAAAGTTATAAAAGCTCTTTAAGCGCACGTCGGTCAATTTGAATATGCAGACATAGGGTTTTATGACCTGAAATGGCTTCGCATCCATTTAAAGATCAATCTCACACAGCTTCCATTGTGAGTTACTGGTTTCTAATCATGACATCGAAAGAAATGTTGTCCGGTGTTTTCCTGTGAAATATGCTACTGTTTTGGTATTCACGTTTTGCCTAAAAACCCTAACGGACAAAGGTGCCATCTGGGCTGCACGAAAGTGTAACGGCATGTCCTTCTCTACTTTATTCACAGTCGTCAGCACAGTGGTGACAGTGGGTACATCTAGACGAAGGCTCTTATCTCTCCTTATCCCGTCATCATGCTCTACGTTGGGAAAATCTGTTCGGCTCCGGTGATACACTTGTAGTTTTCTATTTAAGCCCCAAAGGCTCTTTCAGGAGAATGCTCAAACTGGCGCGAATGAACACGATAGCTAAACCTGTCGGTATTTACACCAATGTTCTGAAAACTGATGTTCCCCACAATTTGTATTTTGAACCCGGCTGAGGAGCTTCCTTCTCTGCTAATTGAGTAAGCGTTTCAAAAATGTTAAGCCCAAGTCGCTAACAACCTGACAGATAAGAAGTGAAATCGTCGTCAAGTCTCTGCTGCTCTTTCGGTTGCTTTCAGGCCCTCAGATCGTCTATATGTCTGTTCCGAGATTTCTATTGTCCTCAAGCGGCACGCGTTGAGACCGCCATGTGGTCATTCCTCCGCTAAGATCCTTGTTGCGTCTCATTTTAAAACTGGAATTTTCAGCCCGCTGTTGCCGGAGAACGTGTATGTGGCAGATGTACGATAACAGCGTTGTAAGCATATGGCCCGTATCCATGCAAAGGCAAGTTGACGTTATATCAGGTCACTGAAAGCAGGCGGCTTTGTTGGATCGAGAAAATATTTTGCGCGTTCAAAAACTGTATCATTGCCGTCCGAAATTGAAGGCTGTTGCCATTCTGAAGTAAATATTTTTCTTGACAGTTCAAGATTTGGTATTCACTGCCGAAGCAAAGACCGCAACAGGCCCTCGAGAGCAGCTACACATCATTTTCATATGTCCAGAAATATTAGTTGTGACATAACATATGTCATCGAAATTGAATTAGCCAAAACCTATATGAAATGAAAATACTAATAGGCTTTCGCGGTTAGGAAGTAAGTTGACTGTCGACAGACCGAAGAGGCTAGTGTCAAGAAGCAGACAAGAAAGAGACTCAATCCCTAAAAGACAAGTTTTACCTTTGGGATTCACGCTTAAGCTCCTCACTAGAGACAGCAGCATATCATGTTAGCGGTAAACAGGGATGCCATAGTTATGGCATGCAGTTACTGCGCAACCGCAAGCCTTTATCGCAGGAAGAGGAGAGTTTATTCGTGCAAACTTATTGATTCGCATTGGAATACATTCGCGTTTCCGTAATTTCCTTAGACTATGGCTCTTCGACCTCATTCTATCAACAGGCGCAATAGACTTCCCGTCTGAGTTCACTTTTCGGAATTTAGTCGGGCAGAATGTTTATTTATAAATGAAGTACATAGGTGAGCACTGCTTCCAGTGAAAATATCCATGAGCCAATTATAAGCAAGCACCAAACCAGTCGCCAAAGTCTGTTGTAAATTTGCGACAAATCAAGAATTGCATGCGGGCATTCAAATGAACGCCGCACGGAAATTACCAATTTTGCAAGATTTTAGGGTGCGTAGCTACCGCACCCTATAAAGGCTACAACCATTGCCTGCCTACCTAATACCTTCGTGGTTGATAATTCCTAGAGTGCACGCGAAACGTTAGACGAATTACGTTCTCTATTTTAGCTTTAAACTTCCTTCACCCGAACTGTACTGACCTTCATTCACTTCTTATTGCACACTTTTCTCACGTTTTTGAAAGGGACATCTTACTCATCCTCTGTACTTCTTTTAATCAGACCTCGTTGGCTTACAATTTTTGGTCTTAAATGGTTAGAAAATGGTCCTCCCTCCCACCTTTATCAGCGCTCTCGTAAGCTACGCTTTTGCTTATGATAAAAAACGTCCGTCTAGAGGAGATGTGCTAACTCATAAAATTTCAACCGAAATTCCGTAATGCGTTTTCGGTTTAAAAAGATAAATTGAGTATGGTTGTGAAACAGATCATCGCACAGTATCGTTCTATAATAATTTGGTTATCTCAGGATGCCTGCTATCGAACGAACGTTTTGCAGGCTGCGTGGAAAAATAAAACACTGTAAAAAAATGACTACTTATGTAGAATGCGTTTTTCTCATTGATTTTCGATGCCCTTAAAAATCCAACTACATTTCATAGAAAAAATGCATAAAATGTCCAATATTCATTCATTGGATAGTAAAGAACGTCTTCTTTCAATTTTATACTCGAACGAAAGGTATAATTTGGGGTTCAAAAGCCTTTCTGACTCCAGAATAATTTTGAACCCGATCTCCCGTTACACTTGCATTCAGAGTTTCCAAAATACAAGCCGTATATTTTCCGCTCACGGAAAATCGTGATTTCTCTACGGTATTGACAGTAGATCCTATGGGATTCGTAAAATGCAGCAGTTGATTTGAGCCGTATTGCTTACTTTACAAGCCGCCTTTGTAAATGCAGAAAGATGGCGTTTTATGAGAGGCCATTTCAAGGTATTAAAAACTCACAATTATAAACTTTTTTCAGACCAAATTATACCCTTCTTTCGAGCATAAGATTGAAAGAGGACGTAATTTTCTACCAAATTAATGAAATAATGAATATTGTTTATACATTTTTTCTATGAGATATAGTTTGACTTTTAAGGGCATCGAAACTCAATGCGAAAAACCGTGCTACATAAGTAGTTATTTTTCACAAAGTTTTGTTGTTGCATGCAGTCTGAAAAAAAGTTATTTCGATAGCAGGCATCCTAAGGTAACCAAAGTATTATAGTACGATACTGGGCGATGATCTGTTTTACAACCATACTCAATTAATCTTTTCAAACCGAAAACGCATTTCGGAATTTCAGTTGGCATTTCATGAGTTAGCCGACCTACCGTAGATGTGTTGGGACTCGAGCATAGATGCCCCCTTGTAATATACGTGACTGTGTTCCAGATTCCAAGGAAATCAGGATAAGTTAAAAATCAGGGTTAGGCTGAATACCAAGGTCAGGGTTAGGATACAGGAATAAGTGTCCTTCTGGAAATTTACTCAGTAGCCATCTGCCTTACGTGGGTTCCTATTCATGTGTGGTGCCGTGAAATGATACTTATTATTAGTTTTCTTCTTACTGAGGACCTTTTGTTTAAACTTCTCATTATTTTCGCCAAACGTAAAAGTATTCTGCGTCTAAACACTAATAATTCGATCAGATATTTTGTTCCCTCATATTTACACAGTGAAGCCACGGTTATCAGACTACTTGAAGGCCTTTTCCTGTTTAGCCATCTGTCTTGCTTTGATCGTTTTCCAATTTTTCATGCCCTGTTCTTTACTGTTTCGATTGTAGTATACAACTATCTCTTCGTTCGAAGTGACAGCTGCGGCTCACAAAAAGACCTAGACGGAACTCCACCGGAGCCCACTTCCCCAGTTTCTGTCTCCAAAAGTCCTTTCTTTTTTCAACCCAAAAGCCCTCTGGCGACGCATACTGACTACCAAATAACTGAGGAGGACAAAATAGTTATTAGGGTTATTCGCAAATTCAAACTCTTTGTGGCAAGAAGAAAATTTCGCGAAGCCCTCAAACCTTACGACGTCAAGGATGTCATCGAACAGTATTCAGCTGGACATCTTGATATGCTCTCAAGGGTGAAGACTTTGCAGGCCAGGTATAAATGTGTCCTAGCTGCCCTGAATTCGTCGTAGACGAATCTCTTGGAGGAATGCCACTTTTTGACCCTATTAATTAATGCCCTTATACTTTTATATTTTCCACTTTTGTGAGTAATTTTAAAGGCAGAATTCGGAGGTCCATGGAAATGTAAGCGAAAACTTAGAGATACATATGCACGCTTCGTGTTAAAACCAAACAATGTTGATACTTTCCGGACATTAATCGAATTCATTGATCGCGCTGCCAAACATAAAACATCAATTGGTCTTCCGTAAAGAATTATTTTGTGTGAAAACTAAGTACTTTTCATAAAATGCGATATGCTGTCCAAGTTGCCATGTTGTGCAAGATGAGGGATTATTGCCTCAATAAAATAGAGGTTCTAATCGCTCTTTACTGATTCTGTGAAGTCGAGAAATTTTCACAGAATGGTCAGGGGAAGACTGCACTGATTTTCAGTTATTCTTCCATTGATATATTCTAGTTAAAATTGCAATACGAGAGAGTGGACCGAGTTAGTTCTGAATGGTCATATGAGTTTAGTTTCAACAGCCTATCCTCAATCCTCTGTATTCCATCTTCGACGTCTGTAAGTTGTTCCAGTTAGACAGCAGAAATTTTGTCATCTAATGACTGTGCACAGCATTCGCCTTGTAAACGATAGAAACCTGAAAATATAGAGTCCAATAGTGTTAAACTTTGTATGTAATACAGCTGTACTAGGCGCCACCTACCTGCTGCAAATAAATTTCTGTAAAAGACAATAAAAAACCTACTATAACATATTAATTAAAACTGAATTTGTAATATAAGGGCTAGAAGGCAGTCGAGCAAAAATGCTTGAAAAATATGTGTGTTTGTAAATACTCATCTAATTTGCTTGCTTGGTCTCATAAACATTAAAACAAGTGCATTTGTTATAATTGGCTTGTTTTACACTTTTATCTGACCTCTTCACTCGATATAAATAAAAGCATTAATGTACGTGTCATGGAAACCCAAAGGCAATGAGAAGAAGCACATTCTTGCGTTTTTCTTTATTCTGAGACTGCTTTTTAACCTGCAAAATTATTTCCTTACAGTGCTACATCTATGCCGACATGAAGGATTAAAGATTATTTTAACTTTAACCGTTAGCACAAAATTAACATTGGTTAATATTCTTTACAGGAAAGTAAACACTTAACATTAACATAAGACTAAATATATTTCGGGCTAGATGTATTACGAGAAATGATTGGCAGTGGAGACGTGTGTATGACTATCATCTTGATATTTCCCCCAGAACGGATAGATATAGGAGGTTTTAAATAGTTTTCCGCACTCGAGTGCAAGCTGTTTCATGTTGCATGTAGACTAACAGCTGGAAGAAATTCACAGTTCTCAAATACTATGAATAAGGCGAAATATAAAATGTCTTAAAAGCACACAAGGTGATTTCACTGCATTTCCAACACATGTATAAAATTAGGGTCTAGTACTGTGCATTATGTCGTTAAAAATCGGCGCCGAACCTCCATGTACATTTGTCCGTTTCATGCACTAAATTTGGTGGAAATGTCACATTCGTGCCATTATTAGTTTGTAAGATGTGCACATGTTAGTTATTTACAGAAAATGGTCAATATCAGTTTTGAGACCAGACCAGATTGTCCATCAAAATGCCGATTCACAGTGTCACGATTATTTGGGTTCGTTTATTTCTGTATAACGCGTTAGCTTCTGCTAATTAAAAAGAACAAGATACAATTAGTCCTAAATAATGCGAATTCTAATGCATGGTACAAATTACATGATTCCTTTATGCCTCTTAGATGCATTGCGTACTAACAGACTCAGTTGTTATATAAATTTGCAGTCAAACGCAATAATCTAAAAACGAGATTGAACTACGTAACTTAAGAAAAAATATTTTCGTTTTTTACCACAGGTTGGATCAAATTCTGGGCAGACAAGCAAACAAATCGAGTCCGTCTGAGACCGGATATAAAAGTTTGGCATCGCGCATTGTCGGAATCGAGTCAAGTGTAAGTCTCGAGCAAGCCATTAATAGATGTTGAGGGCCGATTGCAACAGTCAGACATTATTTTTTACTCTACAAGGATGGCAAAAATCGTGTAAATGGCAGGCGCAAGGCCATTGTGAGTCTAGCAGAGAAACATTTTTGGGGTGCAAATGAATACTGATTGGAAGCGGCATCTAGTTATTCTCTAATTCACGTTTTTGTTTTCTCAAATGCTGAAATGCCGACTTAAAAATCCTGCTTACGTGATACTACTTTAAGTACGCGTTTGTTCGACAGCAAATAATTTAGGTCGCACATGTTCATTTTGGGAAGTGCATCCTTCTTCTATATCGTTTCTTGACGTTGTTCTCTAAAAGAACGGTTTTCGTAATTTTAATTAAAAAACCGGTTCTTCTTTGATTTTTTTAGTTCTATCATAGCAACACATCCTTTTCTTTGTCGATAATACGAATTATCTCCGTCCCATTGCTCAGAATGTATTTGTTATTAGATGATTTCATTTTGCTAAGACAGAATGCAGAAGTCATGTTTGTCGCAAAAAATTGCAATAGACGATGCACCTCGAAGAAATGCCTGTCACTTTTAAGATGGATTTCAACAAAGGGAATTAAAGCATTTTTGATGAAAAGACTATTAAAACCGTTATCAGTGAGCGTGAAGACATAAAAAGGCCATCATTTACCCCGGACCAAGGCACGACCAGTGATTATTTAGAAAATGTATAAATTCTACATGTAAGTTCAAATTATTGATTTTTAGTCGATGCGCTTAATTTCTAAAGGTCATTTACATTTTACAGGCAAACAATCTGTATTCATTTTTATACTCCAGTAGGTTTATGGATAGGACAGATGAACCTATATGATGACACCACTTGAGTATTCGATCAAAAGTGCACAGTTATTCCACCTCGTCAAGTTATTTGCGCATTATACAACTTTTGCTTCCTAACAGCCGCTTATTTTTGCCCAAAATCATAAAGCATAGTCATTGCTGTACAGTCATTCGTGTAATAATAACGATATGCCCGTTCTGTGCCGCGAGGTTATTCTATCTCTCAGAAACGGATGGTCCCATCGTACTTCAGTGTAGACTCCGGCGCACAGAAAAGACGACGATTAAATTATGTCTTTCACTTGGTCGCACATTGTCGTTTCTTTTCATTTTTCGTTTGTAAACAAACTAGTTCACCCCTAGTTCAAACTCTGTGAGCTTAGCTACCGATGCTGGTACACACCTGAATCGATTATAAGAGTGAAATGTTGGGTATTTGGAGAAACAAACAAGCGTGCTTTTGCAAGAGTTTGACTCCATTTCAAAGTTCTTTGGACGTTCTCTGAGTGTCTGTCACATATAATTCCTGTTTTTCTGGAAACCTAACACAATAATGAAAGTTCATGGCCCCTTATTTTCTAGATATACCACGTTTCGACATATTAAGGCAGATTTGGACGCAATCATCCCTGGTCGTGGATAAATGCTCCGCTGAATTTTGTCTGACGGTCGCTTAGTTTCGGTCCACATACTTTGGATCAAAAGTCTACATTTTAGTTATTACGGACTGAAAAGTTTGGCATGTCACTAAGCATCGGCTAGGTTCCCTAGCTTCGTGTTTAACCTCTCAAGTTCCATTTCGGTAAATAAATGGCTGCCTCCAGCAAAAATAAAACAACGCCTTTTCCTTACGAGCGGCTGTTACACATCCATCTTCAAACTGTCGAGAACATTTGTAAAGTATTCGTCTTGGACTTCTTAGGAGGCCTCAAAAACTCAATAGTATTTGATTTCTGTCATTTTAAATTGTCCAAAATGCCCGGCTTTTTCAAGAATGTTTATGATGCAAGGGCATATGGATGTCGATAGAGCATATGAAGTTTAATCTGGCATTTAGTCGTTCCAAAATGCTGAACTAGAATATAAAATAGGCAAAATCAGTATCCATGTTGGAAATAACATTCTGAACTTGATACTGAAATTTCAAAATATCACAACGACAATTGTACGAAAAATGTTGATTACAAGGATGCTTTCGAGAAAATTTAATCTCACGTCAATTAAGCCAACAGCTAATTACTAAAGGTACGTTGTCGAACGTTTGCAGCCGGTTAGTCACTACCAATGCAGCCAGGAAGACATTAGTTTAGGAGGTAGACTGCAAACCGTCTATATAAACTATAAAGTGACGTTTTATTGTGCGCTTCTTTAAAGTCGTGTATCTAAAGCTTTCGACCTACATGCGTAGAGCAAATTCAAATCATTATAAAGAGCGCCGACTACAAACAACACACTTAACACTTCCTGCAAAAGTGATTATCATGCTCCTTCTTTTAGTCCGTAGGTTAGGGACGTTTTTGCGCACTTGTGATACCAAAATTAGGTACCAGGTTATGCGGTTTCGATTTTTCAACGTAACAGGGAAACTGAGAATTTGCGCAGTTGAAGGCATTTAACTTTTTGCTTATGCATTCACGCACATCAGAAAAGATCTCGATAAAGATCAGAACAAATTGTTGAATTCCACATTTCTGGGCGTCGGACATACGATGCAGAAATTTGCTCTCTGTTAAATCGAGAAAGTTTACATGTTTCAAGAACAACATCTTGCTTATAAAATCAATGAAAACAGTTTATTCAGGAACAGTGTAGCCATGGGTCTACATTTTGGTCGAATGCTTGACGAAACCCCAATATTTATCTGTGCTAATGAGCGGTTACACTTTGGATTGTTTCGCATTTATTTATCACTCGGTAAATCAAAAGCACTAGAAATTCATGAGGCGTAATGAGGCAAGATTATTGCAGCAAACCTAGATAAGAAAGTGTATCTCCAATGTAATAGACCAAAACATGGACAATGACCTCAATTTCATGTTTCACCGACAAGTCTCTTACAAACAAACGGTTGCAAAATAGCTGCAATTAATTTACTCACATGCTACATGCAATCCTTTTATAGAAAAAACAAAACTAATCGCTTATAGAATCAAATTACTAGTTTTGCTAGTAAGAAGAGGAAAAAATATTTAAAAGGGCCGACAATAATGAAAGTTTTTTCTAAACACGTGTATTTTGTCAATACATGCTCAGTACACATGTTTAGTAGGCATCTTCTGCAAACATAACCAGATATGGTAAGATTTGCAGGGTGACAACTTCAAAAATAGGAAGAACAATTCAGAGACTATCTTTAAAACAAACGTCTGCACAGTTCCAGAAATTTGCGGACCATACCTCTAATAACCGGCGAAGACCGTTCGGAGGTGATGCATTTTAAAATCCAAATAACTCACTCTAGTTTTTAAGGGTATCACTTGATTAAATCGACGCATTTTTGTCCTTTCGACATATTACGTTTTATTTCAGTTCTTTCGCAGAATCCGGTCACATTGACCTAGTGCGCTTAAAGGGAGCTGCATGACATTTCGGTAGGAAATAGAAACCGCTCAAAGAGATGTTAGCCTACAGAGCTGTCTTACGTGGCAAACACAGCTTAGCAACTGGTCATACCTTCAAATCATTACGACTGTGGTCGCACTGTCCAGATTTCGCCAGGCATTTGAGACTTTAAGGTTAAGCTCAGTAAAAAATAATCAGCAAAGCCAAAAAATAATCCAAACATTGTACCTAATCGGGTCGTACAGTTCAGACTGACTGCTGAATAAATAACAGACCGGAGTATATGCAAACCAATCTAATCGACACACTTGATCATATGCCTCCTCTTCTCTCAGATATCTAGTTAAATGGTCGGCTTTGAAATAAATAAATAGACTAATAAGTTGAAAAACTGCCTTGCCTTATTTTCTGTCGTCAAAGAGCAACTTGCTTCCTGTTCATTGAAAATTCGTCAGACTACATGACAAACCGGACCTCTTCAATCGTCGTAACCCTCGTGTTTCTAAAAAAATATCATAAGTGAAGCCTTTGAATGAATTCATCGGTTCTCCTAAAATGTCATCCAAAATAAGTAAACACTGTACGTCAATAACACTCCCAAATGGTTTCAAATAAACAAATCGTTTGTGTAAATGTCCCCTTGCTATTGCTTGCTTCAGTCGCGGTCATCCCAAAAAGCGAGCTTTAGGAAGCTATTTCAGAGCCTACCAGAACCGCCTTACGGGCGTATAGACCATCGTTGCGCAAGAAACACTATTAAATCCTGTTTTCCTGCTTTTTTACCATTATCTCTGAAATGATCTCACACTGACCAAAGAAGGGTAAATATTTGATTTTAAAGGAGGACCTGCATTTTCTAACATTCGCCGTTATGCTGTTTTGATGTGGTGACGGAAATCTTTGATTGTAATACTATTTCTCAAACTCTTGCCAATTAAAACCAAATTTTACCCGTTATTCAATTATAAAATGTGATGAAAACGCAATTTTCTACCAGATGAATAAAAATGATTTTAATGCATGTTTTTATAAGATGTGAAGTCTATAGTTCGTCGAAAATCGTCGAAACAAATTTATGCTACATAAACAGCCATTTTTTGCAAAGTGTAGGTTTTGCAGGCAACGGGGAAGAAGTTCGTTCAAAAATCGGCATCCGAAAAAAGCTGAATTATTATTCGATTATGTTATATGGTGATTAACATTACAACTCTATTTGAGCAATCTCTTCGGGTCGAAAACGCTTTTCAGAACCTCGGTCAACTTACATGAGTAAGCATATTCACTGTAGATCGGAATTGCGCAAGTAGTATTATTCAGTCTTGTTTTGGTGTTTTTTACCATCATGTCTGAAATCGTCTCACACTGATCCAGAAGAGTAAACGTTTTTTTCAGGGGTAACCTGCGATTTCTAAGATTCCTCACTAAGCTATTTTGGTGAGATGGTAACGGAAGTCATTGAGTGTGGTACTATTTCCTAAAGTCTAACCATTTCCAAAATTCACGCCTTAGTTTCCTCTTAAGTTTTTTGACCATGAACAACTGCAGTACGGATCCAAACTTCAAGAACTGTCCGCTAAAACTTGTTTAGATATTTTTCCTGGCAAAATAATATTAAATGTAGTTCTAAAACGGAAAAAC